TTTTTTTTTTGGGGGGGGGAGAGGGCTCGTGGTGGTAGAAATGGGTTCCACTTCTCGAAATGTAGGAACTCTTATACAGGGCAGGTGAACTCATTTGAATTAATCTGTATTGAAGTAAATGATACATATCCATGGAGTCATGGTCCCATGTATATATAAATCTCCAATGTCAGTATTTGACATGTTATTATTGGAATGTGTGTTTTGCAGATCTATGGATATAGAATGTCTCTGTGGGCAGAACATGTTGGAGTGATCGAGGACTGCTTTACACGACCTGAGTCTCTAGAATGCGTTCGACGAATAAGATCGATGGGTGAGATGAACTGGAAGCAATTTGCAGCTGAAGAAGTAACAGAAATGAGGGGACACCTGATGAAGTACCCAGTTGAAGTTGATAGGATAGGTAAAGTAAGATCCCTTCCTGGATGTGAAACTTTCCCGGATGTTGGAGGAAACATAGTTGGATCCTTTCTTGCCATTCAGGAGAATCTAACAATCTGAAATCCTCAATTGGGATGTCGCACAAAGCTTCCGAGTTGAAGAATGTAGTATTAAATTAGGAGTTGGTAAGTGCAGTTTTGAGTTAAGGTTTTGATATTAGATACTAATTTTCTGTACAGCCCCAGCCTCTGGGCACCAACTGTATAACAAGTAATAGGTCCTGCCCTGCTCCCCGCTTTGAGTAAGATCAGTCATCTCTCCCGCCATTCCTTTGGAATGGCGGGAGGGTTGACAACAAGGAATGTTCACTCTGTTTGATGAGCTGCCTCTCGAATTACGTCTCAGGTCCGTGATATGTTTGTATTCAATGTGAAAGATGTAACATGCATTCTTGTATATTGACCTAAATAAAGCTATACAGAGATTATTTGGAATGAAAGAAGCTGTTGGCACAAGTAGTTTTGAAAGAAGTTGTTGATGTGCTATTTTAGCAGTCAATCTACAGTTTTGTTTTCCTACCCCTCTGTTGTTCTCGTTCTCGCTCTTTTCGGGTCTAATATTTTACTCTATTTATTAAGCATAATATCGATCATCAAACTTAAATTTACATTATTTAGACTCAGTAGATTGCACAAGTACTACATCATGTGTGTACTCAGATATGAACTTGAGCACAACTAGAGGACAGTTGACAAATCTAGGCATATCAGGCATGGGTTTTAGTTGATAACAACGGTTATCAGACTCTGCTGGAAAGAAAGAACTATCTGCTTTGATTTTGTTGCTTGTAGATTCTGTTTCTCAACAAAGATATGCTTAGTGCAGAGATGTGCATTACAAATTAATCAGGAACAGGTGCATTCGAGCACCAAACAGGAGGAAAAATTAATTTTTCCTAGATGGGAGGTTCTTAGGTGTATATTGGGTGCGATCATATCAGTATTAATATACCAGAATCTATTGAAACTCTGCAGTTAAGCGTGTTTAGTACTATGATGGATGACCCCGTGTAAAGTTCTCGTATAGCACCCTTTAAAAAAAAAGAAAAAAAAAGGTATATTGATGCAGAAACTAAACATGTTATGTATCAGAGTTGGTCTTCAACCAGGTACAATACGTGAGCACTAGCATGCTAAAGAAACAGTCGGAATTTGAAACAAGCAATTGACAATTAGTACATCACACATGCCACATAGAGGGTAAGAGTGCATCTGATAATTTATTTCATTCAACACAAAAGAAATAGCTTGAGGTCTTGCAGTGCGCACAAAACTATAAGAACGTTAAAAATAATTTAGAACAGCTTCACAGAAGAAAGTTTCACCAAGAAAAATAATATACAACGGCTTTCGAGAAGTAGTTTCAATTAGAGTCACCACCCTGGAAACAAATAACCAATTAATTGTCAGTTGTCACACTTCCCCTTATTTTACGACAATGCAGTTTCATAAGGCACCGGCTATGTCTCCAACAGCGAAAAATCAGCTAGGCAGATCAAACTTACAGCCTCTGCCGAAGGTTTCCAGGTTCCTATACCCTCGCATCTGGTCTTAGTTTAATGGAGATCATACTGAAGATAGTGAAAGCAACAAAAAGGAGTAAACACTATTTGCAAAATTCAATTACTCATCTCCATCAGGCATTTACAAGCTTTGCACGGCCAGTTTTTTGATCCACCTCAACTNGAAAGCAACAAAAAGGAGTAAACACTATTTGCAAAATTCAATTACTCATCTCCATCAGGCATTTACAAGCTTTGCACGGCCAGTTTTTTGATCCACCTCAACTCGAAGACCAAGTCCAACAATTTCAGGCACATCGACAGATCCTTGAAGCTCCAAGTCACTTACTACTCGTTGGTTTTCTACATTGCCTTCCAGAAGATTCCGGACTGACCAGATGCCCCACTCCCTTAAAAACGGATTATCTTCATCGGTGACACACTGTTGTAATAACAGAAGAATTGCCTTCTTCTGTCTAATTTCATCTTGAACATGCTTCCTTTGGTAAACACAATTGCCAACGACTGCAACAAGGTCCCGCCGAAATCCTTTGTATGGACAAAACTTGGGCAAATATGTTGTTCCTTTGTGGTTCTCCTCTGACGAGAAATGAGTTGATCCCTCTTGGTTATCACTTTGTTTTATTGTTTTCCTAATAATTGCTGGAGGCTCAAGTTCCCGGAGGCAGCTTAAAAGAAGCTCCAGGAGTCCAGAGGATAGCAGCACATTAACATCTACAGTACCCTCCCCCTTGGAACCTCGTAGACCATCGCTTGCACAGATATCTCTTAAAATGATGAGGGAGTATCCAAGAGCATCAATAGCAGCAGACCCTGTTGGAAGACCTGACTTCCCTCTTGAGGAAAAATCAACAGCCCCAAAGGCACTTCTAAATATTCCAAGAAGATGCAGACCAAATGCATTGGAAACAGTTATATCTCTGATTTGCTCATTCAATATCTCTGATAGGATACTCAACAAAAATGCTAGTTCAGGTACAAAATGATCAACTCCGGACATGATATCATCACTAGTTCCAGAATTACCGATCGGACATAGTTTAGAGAAGAGTTGTGAGAAGTGATATTTCTCAAGGCAAATTCTTGAAAGAAGCAATTTTAACCAATCTCCTCGGAAACCAACTGGCAAAACACAAAGTGCAATGTAACTGAAAGCATTTCAGATATATGTCAATTTATCATTATGTAATTGAAAAAAGGGTATGGAGTATATAATGAAAACAATACTCGAGTCAAAGTATCAGCGGATACCTGCTGAGGCAGACTCTGTAATCTCTGCCACAATATGCAACCCTTGATCAGTATCTAACTCTGCAGATAATACATGACTTCCTTCACTACATGTATAAATAACCATACACAAAGGATCACAGGTCTCCCTGCTCCGCACTCTTGCGATCTTGGAAAACTCAAGTGGAAAGAATTGATGCCAAACAGTATGCTGATGTTCTTCTCCAGCCAAAGAGACATTTCCCAGAACTTGCAGACCCGTTTTAACGATCTCATAATCTGACTCAGAAACAAGGCCAACAGAATTGAAAATACCTGAAACAATCTGAACTCCATTTTGTTGAATAAATGAGTTCTGATTACTTATTTCTCCGGCACATAAGTTCCTGAGGAGTTTTAGAGACAAAAGAAGAAGGTGACGATTAGAAGGGCAAGAGAGAGTTCGGCAGAGCTGAAGGACTGTAGTTAGGATATTCTTGGAAGCAAGGTCTGCGCGTCCACCAGCACCTCTGGCAACTGGTATGAGATGTGTTAGGGCTTTTTCAATGGTTGATGAGCTTGAAGCAGTAAACAGTGGCCAAAGGATATCTTCTGGCACAGAAAACTCATCATCATCATCCATTTTTAACCATAAAAACGTTGAAGATCAAATTCCAATGGCTCCTTGTATTTGAGGACTTCACCAAAAGTCACACAAGTTTATGATTGATCCTGTACAAGGACTTCTAATATAATCAATAATCATAGCACCAAAAACCGTTCGACTTACAATTGATTGATCAAGGAAAGAGCAAATAATAGATTCTTCCATTGGTGGTGGCCTCTTCTTTTCGCATGTGTGGGAGGGTGGGCTGGGAATCATTAGGAAACTACCATTCACAATCTATTTCTGTAAAAGCATTATGCATTACTGGTGTCTTCTAAAAGTAACTCAAAGCAGCAAGAAGTGCAAGGGCAGAATGGTGGACGTTTTTGGCAGTTTTTTGCCTCGACAGTTTTTCATAATGCCATTAAAACGAAGACTTTGTACGTGTTCTCAACAATTTTAATGCACAACCCTAAAAAATTGAAGAGAAGAACACTTTGTGACAGTATCCCTCTATATTTAGATACACAATGAGTTACTTGCAGACATTTAAGTAAAAATAGTCTGGAAGTGCAAGGAGTGTACTGAACGAGCGTCCAAAATTTAACATCAATTTAATCAACATAAGCATCAAATTTTCATCAGAAAGTTCAACCCTTTTGTTCAAACAAGTAAAGAAGCTATTCTTCTCCATTACACGCAACTGAAAAGCATCACTTATTATTTCAGTAGCAGAATAAATTGCAGCATTCAACTGAGGGTAGATTAAAGTCTTTCCCTAAACACCAAAACCATGGATTTTCAGAATTCGAGTAGATACACAACAACACAGAAGGAAAAACACCAAAAATGCATCTATAGGTATAAATTTCGATAAGGGTTGGATAAAATCCTCTAATTACAACTAAAAGCACTAAAGCTCCAATCTGCACAAAAGAACAAAACCCAAGCTGAAAAACACACATAAGCAATATGCTGTCGCTGAGTAATTCTGTCGAACACCTGTCATTCACGTGTCAAAGCAAACAATCCTATAACCAAATTGATTAGCAACTAATTCTATACGCACCTGCTAATATATATTTAGAGAGAGAGAGAGAGAGAACTAAATGGATAGACGGAGACCTAGCAAAGAACAGAGATGAGGAGAGCGCAGAGGGGTGACTTTGCGGCCTTCACTTGCGCACAGAGAAACAGAGAATGTGAAAGAGGAGGGAGGGGGTTTATGAATTTTCAGTAGGACCCAATTAGTTCTGCTTTTTTAATAGGTAAATTATACCAATGACCCCTGAGATTTATCACTCATTGCATTTTAGTCTTTATTTTTATTTTTGATGTTTTCATCTTTGACTCTATTTTCTTTCCAATAGCACCCAAAAAGGAAGCTAGAAGACAAAGAGTAGTTAGACCAACTACTTAGACAAAAAGTAATTAGACAAATCCAATAAAACATTAGGACAAAAAAATTTAAAAAATACAATAAAATATCTCATAATTAAACATTTTGGGAGGGCAAACTTTCCAATGCCTCTCTCTCACCTTTCCCCCTTTTCCACAATCAGCCACTTGGGAAGTTAAAGAATTATGTCAAGTTATAAGACATTAAAACTAATTTTAAAAAAGAAAGTGAAAAGGTGGTTATGATTATTGATTGTATGTTTAGTAATTAAATAAATTAAAGTTCTAGAAGATTAAGAAATTGAGAATAGGAAATTTTTTCATGTTATCTCTCAACTAATTTGATTATTGTATATTAATACATAAATAGATATTAAAATAATAACAATACTTGTAATACAATAAATACTATCTTCTTCTGGAGGGAGAGGAGAGAGGGACTTAAACTGAACCAAAGGTCCGGTGGTAAAAAAATACTATCGTAATTATTATTGGAATAGGCAAAATGTGAGAGTAAACACAAAAAATGAATACTAAGGTTAAATTCTGCAGGAAACCAAGGGCTTTATGAGCATCTAATGATGTAAAATTATATCATCCATTTAAGATCCCATTGCATGCTCTTACCCGAATTTGTGCATCATTTGTCGACAAAAATATTCTTTCCTCAATATAAAAAAAAACCCTTTTCAGTTGATGGCTATAAAGAATGAGATTCTTCGTATGATAGGTTTTGAACGAACAATCTAAAATATTCATATTTTCTATCCATGTGATGAGCACGTGAGACATAAACCTAACAATTTAATTAGTGATATAAAAGTTGAATTGCTAAATTTTAGAATTCAAGAATTCAATTGACACCAAAATTAGTTAAGGGGTTAATTATTAAAATTTTGGAATTTAGAGGCTCGATAAACATGAAAATTAGTCTTAATAAGGGGAACAAAAAAATGCAACAAAGTTTTTTAGCCAGTAGCTCCATTAGTGATTTCAAGACTGCAACAGGAACCAAGGATGACACCTACAAGCCATCACTACTTACGGTTTTTTTGGTAAGGTTCATAAAAAATGAGAGTCATTCATTTTTCATCTTTTAAAGTAATAATTCTTTTTTTCCTCATTTGTGTTTGATAAGAATGATAAAAAGTAAAAAAGATTGATTTTTTTTGTGTCGATAAAAAAAATATTTTTATTTTTTTAAAAAATATAAATACATATTTTATCATTATATCTATATATAAAATTAATGTATACATAATCTGTAATTGATAAATATAATTTATGTACATATCAAAAGACATAAAGACAAACAACAAATATTTTAACTATATAATTAATTTTTCATCTATTTTTCTCCAATTTTTGGAGAGATTAATTTTGGTAAGTTAGAAAAAAAATAAATCTATCAACTTTTTCATCATTCTTTGTCAAATATAATATTTTATTTATCTCTCTAATTTTTCATCCTTCCATTTTTTCGTTGCACCAAACGAATTAGAGAAACAAAAACAGTTTTACGCAAGTTTAGCCCATTTCACCAATCCTAGATAAAGGAAAACAACAAATTCGTAATAATAATAAAAAAAAGACAAAGCAAAACATGTCATGAAATACTGACAGAACTCTTTTAAGTCTTGATTCCCTTAATCGTTACAGTAACTTCTTCCACAATGCACCTACTTGCTACCACGGTAACTTCTTTCATCTTCTCTTCCTTTATATGGTCGTCGGATTGACGATTCTTCACGCTCTCCTACGTGAGACCCTTGAGAAGAGTTCAACAGCAATAAAAAAGTCAAAGTCAGGAGTTGTCAAAACAAGCTAATAATGCACGCTAACACCTAATATCCCTACTCCCTGTGCATGTAACTTAAATGGTTAACTATATAAAAGCCAAAATAACAAGAAGAATTCTAACCTCCTAAACATGATAAAAGCATCCTCCTGAACTCATACTTAGCATCATCGCGGCTACTCAGAACAAAGTCAACATTTGTAGTTGGCCTTTAAGTCGGATCCTCCGCCAGACACTTGATGACCATATTTGTGAATGATTTTGAAAAAATCCTAAAACGTGAAACCACAAAAGAAAACTTCGATTTCAGAGTATTCATCAATTTCTTTCTTATGTTTCTTTCACCATTGGTAGTTTTTTGTTCAAGAGTCTCTGTTTCTTCAAAATCTTTCGTTTAAAATAATATTGTCCTTGCCTCTTTCGTAGGAAGTCAAAATACCATTAGCTAGTTGCAGAACTATTACACCAATACGCCATATATCAGGAGCATCTGTCCACTCTGTAATAGGGCAACTTGACGATGACCCGCGAGGGACTGTGCATTCCTCACACAAAGTAGCACCAAAAACTATTTTGGTATGAGGATTACAAAAGACGATGTTACTCAGAGTCATATTTCGTTGTTCAATAACCAGAGTATTGTTTATAGTTGACAGCCCGGTAATAATTTGTTTCAATATCACAGAAATGAACTTTTCTGGAAGGCCGTCTGTGCATCCGCAACCCATTTCCATCATGGTGGAGATAGCTTCCACTTCACGTGGGATGACCACATGAAAAATACCTTGGCTGTAGAAAGTGTTCCAAACATATAGGATGTGGTCATTAGAAGCAATGCTTCAACAAACTTCCCTGCAGAGTCTATCATACTATTATTTCTGACAAATTTTATTCTCACTTGCATATAATTTTCATTAGACAAGACCTCTTTTGCCCGGTGAGATGTTATTCCCGAGCTGTCGTGCATACCATGAACATTTCTGTACACAATTTTGTGCTCTTTATCGTATAACTCATGCTTCCTACGTTCAGCTAGAGATGATACCTATACTTTTTAACAAGAGCTAGAAAGTTGGAGAGGACAAGAAACAAAAGAAGGGGATTGATAGAGCTAATGAATTTTGAAATGTGGGAAATAGTTATTGTTGATATTTTTATAGTGCAAACTAGAAGTTGTACTGTTTTTCAGGTGTGGCAATTGGAGCATAACCCCGTGAGTATCTTACCACTTCTCATGGTAAACTAGTACGACCCTCTATTTGGCGCAGAAGTCTCGCTCAAGTTATAAGCTGCATGGAACTCCACAGGAGAAACATCTTCATGATGCGCCTTCCTCGGCAATACAAGAAAGCCCAACAAAGACTCTCCAACCATTAGGCGCCAACCACCCCAGAGTTAAGAAAAAATAATGCAGAGTGTGACAAATGGGAGAAGATATGAGGAACCTTAGCCCAGTCTCAAACATCTCCTCGTAGATGACAATATCACTAGAGGAGTCGTCGCAAACAAGCTTACCTGTCTTAGCCCGACGACACAGCACGGTCGAAGGAATAGGATAAGCAAAACAAGTCTAAAAATATCATCATCAGGGTTGAGTAAACTGAAAAGGGTGTTCTCCTTAGACCCGTTGACATCAAGGGCCATTTTGCCTTTATGCTTCTTTTGTTGGGGTCGTGAGGAATGGCCTGAGCCACCACCGGGGAGATCATGAGGATTTTGGGTGTGAGAAGTCACACTCGAAGGAGTCAGATCATCATCGCAAAAAGTGGCGCCCAAAGCTCCCTCGTCTCCTACAGTATTCAACCCAATGCTCAAAGAAATACCTGCCCCCCTTTGCTCGCCCAAATGGGAAAGCCCAACACTTGGAAAGGCGTCTGACCCCCTTTGCTCACCCAAAGGGGTGGCCCAGCACTTGGAGAAGTGCCTGGCCCCCTCTGCTCACCCAAACAGGGCAACCCAACGCCTGGAGAAGCGCCCAAACCTCTGTGCTAGCCCAAAATAGGGCCTCTTGGTGCCTGCACGCTGAGACTTGCTCTTTTTCCTTTTCCTTGCTCGCTTGGATCCGTGCCTAAAACATATCCATGCTTGCCCAAGATGCCCAATACTGCAGGTTGCTCGACTAAGCAGCCCTACACAGCGAGATGCTCGCCCAGTTGGTTCGTGCACACAACAGCGCCTAGACGCCTTCCTCTGTTCGCCTCATTAGCGGGTATAGCGGGTGGGCACCCTGCAATGAACTCCCTGAAGTCTATTTTTAACGCTAATATTCTATTTTTACTTAATTGAATTTATGTTAATATTTTTTTCTACAAACTAAAAATTAACTTAAATAAATATAATAATAAGTAAAAATATCTTTTTTTATATTATAATTATTTCAGTACTTAATAAATAGTTACAAATAATTAACAATTTATGTTTATATTATTAGTTAAACATGTTAGTTTCGTGTTAATTTCGTGTTATTATACAAACGAGAAAATAGAGAAAGTATTTTTTTTTAAATAAACGGGTTGATGGTGTCAATTTTGAGTTTGACTGGTTGAATTGAATATGAGCCTTTTATATTTTTTATTTACATATCAGGTTCTTATATAGATATTGTTTTTAATGAATAACAGTGTTACATTACAGTGTAACATTACAAAGTGGCACTATTGTTAGATTTGAGAATAACCAATGCCGTTTAACATTAAAAAATAATTTCAAAATCTAGGTCAAGTTGTTGAGGTATATTCCATGCGGTATAATTTTAAATTTCAAATATGTTCAATCTCTTAAAATATGAAACTATTAATATAATAAATCAAATCTCACAAAAAATGGGATTGTTAAATTAATATACCTTCAAATAAGAAACAATGTATTTTAGTGAAGAAAAAATTTGAAAATTTGTCAATGTGTCCCTAATTACAATACATTTCAAGTTAAAGGTACATATCAACAAAAGTATTTAGTCAACATATTTTCTCATAAGTAGTTTAAAAGATACCCCGCTCACAATTTTTCAAACGAAAAAAAAAACTGGTCCGATAACATTATTTCTAACTAATTTTTATTTAATTTGAACAACCAAACAATTGAGTTTTTAAATCTTATGTAGAGTTTCGTTTAAGCCTCTTTGCTTAATCCGTGAATAATTGTAATAAAAGCATCAATGGTTCCAATTATAGAATAATCTAGTTGAAGCATATACCTATAATATAAAATACTAGTCATTGTCGTGCTTTCACTCATTAATTAGTTACAAATATTTGCGCATGCATAAATGTAAAGTAAAATACAACATTGTAATAAACGACGAATAAAATGAGTTCGCTAATATTTTTTATAACATCAACCTACATGCATAACATATATTTTCACATTAAATTATTACGCCACAAAAATTATGTTATAACTACTAAAACATAATAATTCGAACATCTGAAAAAATACATCAGCTGACAATATTCAATGTTATATTGTTGATTCAAAATCCACAATTTTAACATTCATAATCAACTTTATTTAAATAATAATAGAATTCATAACTAATAGAATGAAAATTGTAACAATACTCCCACAAATAAACTAAGTCTGTAGATGTTGTCAAATGAACAAACATAACTATCAAAAATTCAACCGACTTCCAAAATATACGACTTGACTATTGAATTTGTATGATTTGAGTTTATAGTAGTGTTTTAATTTTATATTATTCTTCTCGATTATTAATATTCTTAGTATATTTTCTTAAACTAAACATTATTTAGTATTGGATTATTTAGTAAAGATTGTTACTTCGTATTGTTCACTAAATATTAAATTTTTATTATTCGTATTCATATTATTGTTTATAATTTTGTATCGTTTCTCTTGTTTGTAATTTTGTATCATTTTTCTTTGGTATTTAGATTTGGATTATTTAGTAAATATTGTTACTTTGTGTTATTCACAAAATATTGAATTTGTATTATTTGTGTTTGTATATGAATTTAATCTTGTATATTTTAAATGTTAAGTATATTTTCTATAATATATCTCTTGATATCTGAGTTGCCCAATAACTTACATTTAATCTTATATATTTTACATGTTAAGCATATTTTATTGTTTAATTAGATTTTTTGTAAGTTATGCTTTTTTTTTATTATCGAAAAAATAAAATTGACAATTAAATTTATATATATATATATATACACACACATATATATTAAAGTTCTCCTATAAGACTAGGAGATGTTTAATGCACTACTTTTCAAAGAAATGTGGTGCATTAAATACACATAAATTAATGGGGGTCAAAAATATCACAAAAAATCATTAAAATTTAAATAATGTACTTAGATACAAATAAATATTAAAAATAAGGACTTAATTATCCAACATTTTTTTTTATGTATTTTTTTATAATTAAATCTAATTGGGTGTACCTCCTTCCAATTTTCCCTAATTCAAATAAAAGGCATGCCAACTGAAACTTTAATACGGTACATGGTGTTATTGAAGAAATTTATGACATTTATAAGTTTGCAGTCTGTTCGTTGCCTTGTTCCTTCACATTTTAAAAGGTGAGTAGTAGTCCAACTCTCTCTCTCTCTCTCTCTCTCTATATATATATATATATTATTCTTATGCAGATATAGAGTAGTATTATGGTACCAAAAAACAGTTATTTGATATTGTATTTTTACTTTTTAGTCTATACTACTAATAAAAATACCTTAATATAAAAAAATTTTGATTCACTAATTTGCCCTTATAAAAAACTATATAGACTCACATGTCTTTTTGTATTTAAATATTCAAATTATCATTATATCCTTATGTATTTAAATAACAAACTAATTTAGTATAAGGAAAATAATAATTTGTACTCCGAAAAATTAAAAAAATATCAATTTATACCCTCAAAGACCAATTGTTTTAAATTGCTTTCTCAATTAAATTAGTTGATAGCAATGTCAACCCCAGCTATAAATCTCCTATGATAGCCGTCAAAGTGATGGTGCAATCTAAAATAATTGATCTTTAAGGATGCAATTTGCACATGTTTTAATTTTTTTGGGTGCAAACTGCCATTTATCCTGTATTATATCTATCTTTTGGTGCAGGCCGGGCTTAAAGACCTATATACCCGCGTGGAGTTCCTTTGCAGTCTGCCTTTGTCACCATATCTCCAGAAATCTACTTTCTCTCCCTGCTTTGTATATGTCTCTCTCTCTCTCTCATAGCATTCGAACAACATTCATGACTGTATGTCTCAAGAGAAGATCCAAACAACATTAAAGTTTGCTTGGAATCTTTGGTTTTCAATTTTCAAAACTAGAGTTTCTGTACACACATAAGGGGAAATCTGTGTTTTCAGGCTTGAGATTTGGCAGAATCAATACCAGTAGGTTCCCCTGAAACACAAAGATAGAGTGGCTTGGCTTTAATTTATACAAAGGAGAATTACAAGATAGAGTGGTTGAATACGTGGGCCCTACATTATTAATTAATCGTTGCATTTAATTTATGCAAAACTTTCAGGTTATAAATTTTCAAAGCATTGGGCATACAATCTATAAAATAAATCATATGAGAAGTTGAAGTTTATCCCTCACGTATTCCCTCTCCCAATTTCATCGCACCAACTGTTTTATTACATGTTCAATCATTTAATATTTAATTAGTTTGTTGTTTAACATAATTTTAATATCAACTATTATCTACATATGATAGTATACACATGTTGAGAAATTTTTATAAAATTATGTATTTTGAGAAAATTTTGTCGATATTTTTAAAAAAATAATGGGTAATTTTTTTTTAAAATAATGTAATCAAATAAATGAAGAGAAAAACTTATTATTTTATAGTCTAAAATATACAACCTTAATCGAGTAGGTGGTCCAGGTTCGATTCCCCACTCCTCCTTACTGACAGTCATCTCATCAACCAGTGTTTAGCTCTCTTCAAGGGGTAGTGGGGATTAAAGGGTAGGAAATTCCCACTTTTCTAAAATCAAGTAAATATTGTATGTAACGGTTCCATCATAAAAATAGTTTTATATAAAATAATCTTCCACTAATAAGTTAATAAATGGTCAAGTGAGTTTCAAAATATTTAATAATCACTCATTTATGTAATATACCACCACATCTATATAAAGAAGTGTGAATGTGTGTGTGGTCCACTGTATTCACTTTTGAGTTTTTCTATTGAACAGTTATACCATATAACACTGTTGATATAGCGTAATTGTTATACCTAATTTATCATTTTTAAGATAATTTTTTAGTTTCACTTACCATATTTTAGGATGAACCTTATCACTTTTGAAGTAAAATTTACTAATTTTTGGAGTTTTTTTATATAGTACAGAAATGTTCATGGTGTGGACGAAAACTTGGGAATAAAGATTCACCGGGCAGAAGAGGTTCTGTCTGATGGAAATTATATGCGGGTGAGAATTAAATCTGTTCACCGTAAAAAGTACCAAAAGGAGTTTGAGCGACTCTACCGGGAAGTTGATCGAAGCAGCCAGATCTCTGCTTCCAATCACATCCTATATGTAAGGAACACTTTCTCTAGCAAAGGTGTTTATCATGTGGTCATCCCACGTGAAGACGAAGCTATGTCCACCTTGATAGAAATGGGTCGTGGATGTGCAGACGGCCTTTCAGAAAAGGTCATTTCTGTTATATTAGAACAAACTATTGTCGGGTTGTCTACCATCCATAATAACGAAGTTATTGCACATCGAAATTTGACTCTGAGTAACATTGTTTTTTGTGATCATGATATCAAAGTAGCTTTTGGTGCTACTTTGTATGAGGAATGCACAATCGCTCGTGAGTCATCATCAAGTCGCCCTATTGTAGAGTGGGTAGAGGCTCCTGAAGTTCTTGATTTGACTAGACAGACTCTACAACGAAATAAAGCTGATATATGGCGTATCGGTGTAATAGCTCTGCAGCTAGCATATGGTATGTTTGACTACCCGCGAAACACGCAAGGACAGTATACTTTTGTTCGAAATATTTTGAAGAAACAGAGACTCCCGAACAAAAAAACTACTGAAGGAAGCACAAGAAAAAAATTGGTGAACACATTGAAATCGAAGCTTTCTTCTGTGGTTCCTCGTTTTAGAACTTTTTCAAAATCTTTCACAAGTATGGTTATCAAATGTCTGGCGGAGGACCCGGCTCAGAGGCCAACTGCAAATGAGTTGTTGACTGATGACTTTATTATGAGTAGCTGTGATGATGATAAGGATGAGTTCGAGAGGATGCTATTATCATGCCTACGAGGTTAGACTTCTTGTTTTTATTTTGGCTTTTACAGTTCACCATTGAAGTTACATGCATGGGGAGTAGGGATATTAGGTACTCAATGATTTTGGCTTCTTAATTTATAGCTGTTGAACTCTTCCCAAGAGTCTCACCTAGGGTAACGTGGGAAAGTTACATGCATGGAGAGTAGGGATATTAAGTCATGCATGATTAGCTTGTTTTGAAAACTCACTGATTTTGGCTTCTTTATTGCTGTTGAACTCTTCCCCAGAGTCTGGCCCAGGAGAGCGTGGGGAACCTTCAACTCAATGACCACATAACAGAGAAGAGGAGATTCTACAAGTTACAGTGGTAGCAGATGGGTGGACTGTGGAGATTAAGTTCAAACGCAGCAGATAGGATATAGTCTCTTGCTTTCCCAGATGCTGAGGAGCGCTGTAGATGGCAAAGAACCACAGCCCTTCTCCTCCACTTGTTCATCTTGGATGCAAAAAAAGAGAAGAATCTGGTTGCTCTGTCTTATGCGCATAGAAGAAGGGACTCCTCCTCAACTGAAGGTAAAAAACGGGAAGGCAGAGAAGAGAGGAAGATTTGTGTGTTCTTGAATATTCTTCTCTTCATCTTTAAGGACGATTTCTTTTGTTTTTTGAAATGTTGTTTCTAAACTATTTTCCTGTCTCTAAATATTGATGGCTTGTAGGTCTCGACCCATTTGCAGCACCCTTGGTTCCTGTTGCATTCTTGAAATAGTTAATTATGCTAGGTTCTCTGTGTATAAATTAATTTTAATCCTATCAAATTTTTAATATAAAATGTCCTCCAATTTAAAAAAAATTTGAAAGTGACCTGTGTTGGTAGGAATGTTAAGGGATTTGTTAATTACTAATTTTAATTACTTATTTTGTCCTCTATACATGATTTCAGCCTAAAATATAATTTTTTTTTTTTTTTTTTTTTTTGTATATTATTGAAGATTTTATTGTTTTGTCTATTGAGGATTGAATTTTGAATTCGTAGGAAACATTTGAATTCAAAAAGGAAACTTCTTAGCTGCAGTGTTTTTCTTTCTTAAAACTCTCGGTTGGCGTTGATCAGAAGAATCTTGCTTCAGTAGGAAGAAAATTTGTGTTCGTTGTTACGCTTACAGATGCACAAAATTAAAAATCACAAGTACACAAATTAAAAATTAAATATTATATTTCATTCAAAAATTCATTTGATTTATATTTAAAAAAATAAAAAAAATATCATTTTTTGAAGTCCTTCAACTCTGTCTCATATTTCTTTGCTTTTTTCTTCTTCTTTTGTAGCTTTTTGTTGAAGGACTTCGTCATTTTTTTTCACTCATCTTTTTATTTATTGAATATGTAGAGTTAAGATTCGAGACAGTCGATATCAACTTGTCATGTGATCTTGTTTTGCGTGGATGTCGTCTAAAAAACCTGAAATTATTTGTATTTTAGTTTATGTTCTTTGTTGCCTTGATTGTTCTATTTTTTTTTTTCTGTATTTTTTATTCTGAATTTTAGATACAGAAGACCTTCCCAATAAATAGTTCAAAGGGAATGAATCAGTACGTTAGTCAAGAAAAAGTTTTTTTTTTAGTGTACTAATATGATGATTTGAGTTTTGTGTAGAAGAAGGTACATTATGATGACATAATTTCTTATACTATGTGTTTTAATTACTTGATAACATTATTATTAATTTTTACAATAGGGACCTAATCAAAAAAAAATAAAAATTTACTAGTGAATTTTTTTAGAATTCTATTATGCATAGGACCAGCCTCTAAAAAAATCTACTTGAAATCACTGATGCAGCTAGCTAAAAATTTCTGAAGTGAAGTGGTCTAAAAAATAAAATAATTAAACATTTTAAACTTACATAATTTCCGACCCTGCTTAGCATACTGCACATAAAAAGGGTGACTTGAATGAATATCGTGAAGAAAAACATAAATTCATGGTCACCCAAGAGCTACAAAATTGATTTAAATATATACTCTACTCATTCTCTTGTTTCAAAATGAGAAAACCCTTAAACATCAAAAAAAAAAAAAAAAAGGATTAAAAAGATGTTATAAATGCTATGTTTTATTAAATAAGAATTTTGAATTATTTTCTTGAAGTCTTTCAATTTTTTTTTTAAAAAAACTAATTCCCTTTTATCAAATATCGCGGTTTTTAGTTGAAATTTTGTAATATTTGTTAGAGCATCTCCAATACACTAGCCAAATTCATATTTTAGTTATTTTGGGGAAGCTTGCTCAAAAAATCTGCTCTAATCGACTAACTATCTTGCTCACCTAAACCTAGGAAGCCCTTCATGCTTGCTAGATCTGGAGAGGGGGAGGGGAAATATTTTTGTGGGTCATTTTTATAACCAACAAAATTTATTATTTTTGTGGGTGATTTATTATTTTTATGGATATTTTTACCATTATTGTGAGTATTTTTATCACATTTGCACTAACTATTTTCATCACTTTTTTTTGTACAAAAAAAGTTCTCATACTTGTAAATGTTTTTATCATGATTGTGATAACTATTTTTACTATTGTTTAGGGTACCACAATAGTGGTAAAAAAACTCACAAGTGTGTGAGGACACCCTCAAAAAAAAATCTTAAAATTACTTATATATATTTTAAATATTTCTTTAATATTTTCAATTATGCCCAACATATTTTTTTGACGCATCAATTAATGTATACTTATATCAAAATGAATATGATTTTTTTTGACACATTTTGAACATGTTATATATCTATCTAGATGAATTTCAAATATACTAAGTCATTTTATAATTTCTAAAATATTATGAGATTATTTTGTTATTGCATAAAACTAGAGTTCTTTTCTAGTAAAAATTATTTTGTAGGTATATATTAAATAAAATTTAAAATTTAAAATTATTATTTATAAGTAAAAAAATTGATACTAGTATAAGATTGAAACAAATGACCAAGAGAGATAGGGAAAGAAAAATTGAGAAGAGAGAAGAAGCGATCGACAATGGTACAACTTTCATGATTGCACGAAATGATTATCATATTATCTAGAGATATGATTTGCCTTTATTTGAACAATTGGCGGCAACTCTACAGTACTAAGCAGTTCACGATATTTTTTGATCTAGCATTTTGGTGATCTAGTTCAAAATATGTTTAAGACTAGAAAAGACATAATATATATATTAATTAGTTTATTTGTAATTTTGACATTTATTTTGCTAATTACGGCAGATATTATAGAATAACATGATGTTTTATTTATCTTTCTAATTTTTCATTCTTTTAATTTTTCATTGTGCCAAATGGATCATTACTCTCTTACTGTTTATAATGGCATCTATCATCTCAGGTTTTGTATTTCAACTTGTGTTGTATGGTCCCTTTCTCTACAGAAGATGATATGCTCTAATATAGGACCTTTCTCTATTGTCCCTGTTTTTATGTAGAAGACGACATTGTACTGGTACAAGTTGTATAGGTATAACTTTTATTTTTTATGTCACTATTTTTTTGTTGAGCGTATTATTATTTTTTCACATGTTACTTTTTTATTTCGCATATTACTATTTTTTTTTTCATGTCACTATAATGTTTTCTTATCACTACTTTTTTGGTTGAGTATATTACTATTGAATATATATATGTGTGTGTGTGTGTGTGTGTGTGAGTGAGTGTGTCTGTAAGATAAAATAGTCTGAATCTATGTATAGATATAGACAGACATGATTGAGAAACAATTTCAATGATAGAAAAACTTATAAAATTGAGAAGTTGTTAGTTTTTAAATTTATTTTAATTAAATATAAATATGATGGTATTTCAAATAATATAGATGAAAATGGACTTATACCTAAATAAGTTTTTCCTGTACAAATAAGTCCACAAAAGGGAACTGACCTCCAAATTTCCCTAGTATTTATTGTACTAACGGACTTTTAGTCCAATAATATTCTTTTTCTTGGAAAGATTTTATTTTCTTGAATTCAAGGGTTCAAGTCCTCCTTCCCACAAAAAGATAGTATTTATTGTAATACAAGTATTATTATTTTTTTAAATATCTATCTATGTATTAATATACAACAATCAAATTAGTTGAGAGATAACATGAGAAATCTTCCTATTCTCAATTTCTTATGTAACTAATTAACCACCTCTTATTTAAGTTTCTTTTTTAAAACTAGTTTTAATGTCATATAACTTGTCATAATTCTTTAACTTCCCAAGTGGGTGATTGTGGAAAGGGGGAAAAAGTGAGAGGCATTGGAAAGTTTGGCCTCCCAAAATGTTGTATTGGATTTGTCTAACTATGTTGATCAAATTTGAGACAAATTAAGAGTTTAAATGACATAACAACTGACTTTAGTTCAAATAACAAAAAACTATGGCATGTTGGTCTAACTACTTTTTGTCTCGGTAGAGTGACCAGTTTTAAAGAAGTTCTAGCTTCCGTTTTGAGTGCCATGGAAATAAAATGTAGTCACCTAGACCTAGGTACTCTTCCAGAAGTGCTTGTTCCATGAAACAGGGGTCTAATCACCTCTGGCATCGGGAAGGGCTCACAGCTATTTGCGAGAATGAGAGCTTCCATCAATTTTTCTTCATCCTGAGGTGAGAAATCACAACTTATTAGTGAATCGTACAGAAAGTAGTTTTTTCACATTACCATTCCATGCTTTTTTTTTCCTTGAGAAAGATTTTTAATAATTTGAATGAAACCCTAAAATTATCAAAGAGGAAAGCATAAAAGATAAAATAAATAAATAATAGCTGAATTAGATCAAGGTTTTACCTTGTACAAATTCGGGTCTGAAGCCAAACTCTTCAGTAAGCTACAAACAAAAGCGTTCTTTGCACTATAGTACTGTGCCAAAACATTACCACCGTGAACACTACCGTGGAATTCCTGTGAAAAAAATTTTGACACCATGAAATAAGAATAAGTGACAGACTGCACAATTGGGTAAATAAAAGGTAAATTAAAATTATCAATAAATTCTCAACATAAAAATATCATGTATGGTGATATGATCTGAGGAGCACATAAACAATGCTGATGGCCTGAATGGAAATATTTCTTTGAGAACCCCAAACAATTTGGACCGACAACATACTTATAATATCTAAACTTTTCCAACGCGCAAATTAAATCTGAATGCTAACCTTAGTGTAGTATCTGCATACTCCGGGCCCTTCAGTCAGAATCAAAAGCTTCACATTTGGGAGGCCAAGTTTATCTAGCACCTGATTGTCATCAGGTGGATCATCAGGTGGATCATCACCTGGAACATCAGGTGCAACCAGCCATGTAAATTCACTCCAACACATCTGCAATTTCCACACAGACCCATAATAAAGTCAAGTGCCATCTCAACAAAATAAAAAAATAATAATAATTAAACACTTAGGATTTTCAAACCTAGTAAGCAAAAGATATACCGTAACAACATCAGCTTGGTCCCATACAGTATTGTTGGCCTTTGGAGTACTAGTTGCACTTTTTGAGAGCCACCCAGGCAATAGTAGAGTTGGGGTAAAGGAGAGAATGCATCCTGATTTGTTAGCAATGTCCATTGCAGCAAGATGAGTTGACCAAGGTGACTCCTCTATCAAACTAAATGAACCATAGTAAAAAACGCTTGCCTGCATGAATAATAATTATAAAAGAACACCTTAATGGTAAGCTACTCATGACATTAGAGTACTAAAAAACTTCAAAAAGAATGCATTCTAGTATTAATTGCATGTTGTTTATTTCGTTGGACGAAAATGTATTTTGTTTAGTCTCATTATTCTTTAAATAATCAGCTACAAATTGCTTTTCTAAGAACTCAAGATGATAGCATTTTACACACGCTGAAAGTGAATATTTCATTGAAGTAAGTCTAAATCTAAACACCTTATGCTTACCTCAGTCATGTTTTTATCAACCTCTGCTTTAGTAATAAGCCTATCAGCAATTGATGTTCGGAAAAGCATGAATTCATGCTCGCCATCCTCTCTCAATGTAGCAAAGGCTAGCGCAGTCTCTGCATGATGGTTAAAACGCACAGAGTAGCTTACGTTGCTGCTTTTCCTCCGAAAATCAATTAGCATGCGGCGAAGTTCATCTTCACCTACCTGAAATGGATATGAAAGTGGAATCGGTTGTTGTATATGTTGCAGAGTATCAAGCTATGCTATTCAACATGAATATAACAACTCAACCTGAACACAAGGGAATAGAAAGTCACAAGATACCAAAGCTATGCAAGCCGATTACAGCCTACATTACAAAACAAATAGCATACAAAAAACGTGTCTGCCATCGTTATTGGTATTTTTAGCTTCCAATTCAGTTACATTTTATTTTTGTGGAGAGAATGGGAAGTCTTTAAACATGAAAATCTGCAGTCAAAAACACGATAGAAACTTGTAATCCTCAAGTTGTGGAAGAAAAGATGAAACAAGCCAAGTGGATGTGCTGAGTTACTATGATAGCGCCACACACTCACAAATAGAAGGAACTAAATTAAGTAGGAAAATACTCTCGATATAAATCAGCTAAAGGGATTGAGTGAGATGCATAACAGGCCAACACACCAATATAGGTGCACCCTTCCCTCCAAATCCACAAACAAGTTCATGCTAAAAATGTGAACTTATTTTCGACTAATAGTAAAATTGACATGACATAGTGAAGAGTTGTGTAGATTTATAGGAATTCATTAATTTCTGCCAAGTGACGGGATCAAACCTTCTTGAAATTTTTGTGCAAACTTCACTGAATTAATTCAGTGCCCCTCAAACTTCTACATAATGTCCAAAGTTTTATGACACTGCCATTGTTAGCACCGATGATAAGTTGTGCAACCCTAATGCATCAAAGTTCAAAAATGCAAAAGAAAAACATAAATTTGACTTTAAAATCCTCGTGATCTCGAATATTTGTGCACAAGACTTGGCAAGAAGAAATGAAATCATCAGAAACATGAAAACAATTTACTTTCCAGAACATGAAAAACAAATTAGCAGTTAGTTATTAGTATCCAGCTACATCTAAGAACACATAAAAACCCAGAAAACAATGGAACCTTGTCAATAAAATCTGAATAGTGTTCTAATCTAGCCATCGCATCTGAGACAGTCGCAGGAGTTTTCTCAAAACCAAGTGCCTCTGCAGTTGGGACAAATTCAATCAACTTTTCCCGAAAGCAAACCACAGGTGGACTCTTCTCCTCAGCTCCTCTTTTCCCCACAGAAGGAGACGTTGGTGCACCTACATGGGAACAATTATTGACATATTTGCCAAAATGATTGCGTCCTATTTGACAAACACGGGGAATTATATAAAAAATAACTTTTTCTGTATAAGCCTATCAATGGATCAAATTTTGATTTGCATATGGGTTGACATTTTATATATATATATATATAGAGAGAGAGAGAGAGAGAGAGATTGTTGCTTTTCCAGAGAATTAAATGTAAATTTCTGTTAATGGAACTAAGAAGATCCATAGCAAAAGACTCTGTGAAAAAATCTAATACAAAGAGAGATGAGAAACAATTATGGTTCATGATTTTAATATGGAAAAATTCAAGAATAAACTGAAAATTGAAGAAAAAAAGAGTGATCTTACCGAGCTTATGAGAGGAAGAGCCCTTAGACAGCTTGAAACTGCACTTACCAAAGTCGAAGGCGAAACAGCAACTCATTTTGATCTCCTCTGATCTGTACATGTTTACAATATGATAATCCACATTCCATATCCCCAAACAAGAAAAGATTAGAAAGTTTTCATTCATTGTCTACTTATATTTCATAGACTTACCAGCGGTAACTCGGTGCAATGTACGGTAGTTCGTCAATTGATGGTGTGAATACAATTAAAATATATTCACACAAAAAGGCAATTATAATCATGCAAACCCCGACAATTTACACCCAAAAAGAAAATGGTGCATACATTACATGCCCCAATTTCAACCTCTTTAACCAAGTTGTTTTGTGTCTCTCTCCCACTCGGTCTAGAAAAACAGTAATCAATTTTCAAAAAGAAGCCCAAGTTAGCAAGTATAACACAATAATACATGATCATAAAGAAATAAAATAATTTGAATAAGTAGAGAGGACTATATATCCCCTAAATCTCATATACATTGAATAGGTGTCACCATCAATTTGAACCTCTCTTTGGACAAATAGAACCGATAAACAAATCCCATTACAACTACCAATAAACAAAATAACAAAGACCCCAGAAAAGCAAATACACACACGGCCACTTACACAACTCACAATAGCTTAGGCGGTGCCGTGGCAGCTATTGTTTTTGTGAGAGAAGTAGAGATATTAGTATTAGTGTGTGTGTGTGTGTGAGAGAGAGAGAGAGAGAGAGAGAATTTTGAAAGAGTCATTGGTGGCGGTTGGGGAGAGAGAAGAGCGGAAAGGCGTAGGTTGAGAGATAGGAAGGGAACCGGTGAGAGAATCATGGAAACCTAAAAACCAAAAAACTTTACACTCGGTAACGTTTACTTAGTAAAAAAAACGCGTGTTTCTTACATTTGTTTATTAAATATTATATTTTAAAAAAATTTCAAAAATCTTGAATGTTTGATGGAAGTTGTTGATAAATTTACTAAATGATTTGGTAAGTATATTATTGTTTATGTACAGATATTAAAAAAAAAAAAACACCAATCATGTGAATTCACCTAATATTATAAAAATCAAAAAAATTTAAAAACCTACAAAATTAGAATGAGAATGAATGGGGGCTGTTAGAATAAATTAAAATAAATTTTTGAAAAACTACTTAACTAATTATTTTTTATTAATTTTTCAGTTTTAAACTTTACTATTGAAATTTATTTCTTGCAATTATTTTTTTCGGAAGGTAAATATATTAAAATAAAAATATATACAAGGATAATCACCAACAGATTATACAGTGATGTCACGTAAGAGTCAAAGACAAATAACAAAAAATCCAAAAGGCCAAAAAGGCTCAAAACACAATTCTTGCAATTATTAGTTAGTTCTAATCTCCATTTTTCATTCATTGGACATATCGGTTATATATGTTTACACTGTTTAATTACAAAATTGATATAAGCTGAATAGCATAACAATTATATCTATATAATAAATGAATTAGCATTGTTTTTAGTTTTTCACGGCTAAGATCGATTTAAGATTATTCATCTGATGATCCTAAAGGATTATTAATAGATAAAATTTTGATTTGCATATAGGTTGATTATTTTTCGCCAATCATCTGAATTTGAATTTGAATCTGTTATATTATGTTTTACAAATTAGGATTTGAATACATATATATTGATTTGTATTATATGTATATAAAAGTATATAATAAAATTACTTGAGAGATGAGAATTAAATGTAAATGTCTGTTAATGGAACTAAGAAGATCCATAGCAAAGGACTCTTTGTGAAAAAATATAATACAAAGAGAGAAGAGAAAAAATTATGGTTCATGAATTTAATATGAAAAAATTCAAGAATAAACTGAAAATTGAAGAAAAACAGAGCGATCTAACCGAGCTTATGAGAGGAAGAGCCCTTAGACAGCTTGAAACTGCACTTATCAAAGTTGAAGGCGAAACAACAACTCATTTTGGTCTCCTCTGATATGTGTACGTTTACAGTATGATAATCTCCAACAAGAAAAGATTAGAAAATTTTCATGTTCAATCTATTTAATAAAGTATAACGAATTTGAATTTTGGAGACAAAGAGTGGTTTAGATCGTTTTATGACAAAAAAAAGCATCATCTAACAGACAACATTATTTCAAACTGTCTCGAACTATTGACGTCTCAAATTATTTTAATCCGATGTACCACATTAACTCTTTTGAAATTTTTTTGCTACTCAAAATTTATAGTTTTCAAAATTGATATTCTAAAATTTAATTCCTCCAAATCTTTTCCTTAAATCAAGCAAATCTCTCTCTCTCTCTCTCATTCATCTATATATCTCTCTCACGCTCAATTCACGCAAAAAGTATCATTTTTTCACAATATTTTCATTTGTATCTCATGAAAATATCACAAAAATATTAGATAGTGCCTAATTCAAACAAATATTGCATCTCTCTAATGATAGATACTATATATCACAGAGAGATAATATATTACGAAAATATTCTTCTGTATCTCTCTCTAAAAAAAATTATATAATAAATATTAGATAAATAGTATATTATCACGAAAAATATTTCTCTATATCTCTCTCTTTCATTCAAGCAATACTACAAACACAAATCATACAAATTCAATAGTCAATTTTGTTTTTTCCATAATAAAAAAAAACATAACTTGCAAAAAATCTAATTTAACAAAGAAAATATGCGTAAAATATACAAGATTAAATTCAATGTATTTGGTAACTCAGATATCAAGAGATATATTAAAAAAAATATGTTTAACATTTAAAATATACAAACGCGAATCATACAAATTCAATATTTAACAACATAAAACAACAATATTTATTAAATAATTTAAATATAAATTACCGAGAAAAATGATACAAATTACAAGCGAGAGAAACGATACAAAATTATAAGGAATATTATGAATACGAATCATACAAATTTAATATTTAGTGAATAACATGAAATAAAAATCTTTACTTAATAATTATTCAATAATAAATAATGTTTAGTTTAAGAAAATATACTAAGAATATAAATAATTCAAAAAAATGATATAAAATTAAAAGCATTACTATAAACTCGAATCATACAAATTCAATAGTCAATTTTATTTTTTCAATAATCAATAAAAAAAACATAACTTGCAAAAAATCTAATTTAACAAATAAAATATACTTAACATGTAAAATATATAAGATTAACTTTAAGTTATTGGACAACTCAGATATCAAGAGATATATTATAGAAAATATACTTAACATTTAAAATATACTAGATTAAATTCATATACAAACACGAATTATACAAATTCAATATTTTGTGAACAACACAAAGTAACAATATTTACTAAATAATCTAAATCTAAATACTTGAGAAAAATGATACAAAATTACAAACAAAAAAAACGATACAAAATTATAAGCAATACTATGAATACAAATCATACAAATGCAATATTTAGTGAACAATACGAAGTAACAATCTTTACTAAATAATAAAATACTAAATAACGTTTAGTTTAAGAAAATATACTAAGAATATAAATAACCGAAAAGAATGATATAAGATTAAAATACTACTATAAACTCGAATCATACAAATTCATTAGTCATGTTGTATCTTTTGGAAGTCAGTTGAATTTCTGATAGTTATGTTTGTTCATTTGACAACATCTGCAGACTTAGTTTATTTGTGGGAGTATTGTTATAATTTTCATTCTATTAATTATGAATTCTGTTATTATTTAAATAAAGTTGATTATGAATGTTAAAATCGTGGATTTTGAATCAAAATATAACATTGAATATTGTCAGCTGATATATTTTTTCATATGTTTGAATTATTATGTTTCAGTAGTTATAACATAATTTTCGTGGCGTAATAATTTAATGTGAAAATATATACTATGTATATAAGTTGATGTTATAAAAAATATTAGCGAACTCATTTTGTTCGTCGTTTAATACAATGTTGTATTTTATTTTATATTTATGTATGCGCAAATATTTGTAACTAATTTATGAGTAATATCGTGTCTTCAGGCATGGGTAATTGCTAATATTTTATATTATAGATGTATGTTTCAACTAGATTATTCTATAATTGGAACCGATGATGCTTTTATTACAATTATTCACTGATTAAGCAAAGAGACTTAAACGAAACTCTACATAAGATTTAAAAACTCAATTGTTTGGTTGTTCAAATTAAATAAAAATTAGTTAGAAATATTGTTATTGGACCTATTTTTTTTTTTCCTTTTGAAAAATTGTGAGCAGGGTATCTTTTAAACTACTTATCAGAAAATATGTTGACTAAAATCTTTTGTAGATAAGTATCTTTAACTTTAAATGTATTGTAATTAGATACACATTGACAGATTTTCAAATTTTTTCTTCACTAAAATACTTTTTTTCTTATTTGAAGGTATATTAGTTTAACAATCCCATTTTTTGTGAGATTTGATTTATTATATTAATAGTTTCATATTTTAAGAGATTGAACATATTTGAAATTCAAAATTATACCGCATGGAATATACTTCAACAGCTTGACCTAGATTTTAAAATTATTTTTTAATGTTAAACATCTCTGGTTATTCTCAAATTTAACAATAGTGTCACTTTGTAATATTACATTATAATGTAACACTGTTATACATTAAAAGCAATATCTATATAATAAAGTTGAATGATTTTGAATTTAAGAGATAAAGAGCGGCTCAGATCATTTCGAGATTAAAAAAGGCATCATCCAACGGCCGAAGATATTTCAACTGTCTCAAACTATTAACGTCTCAAATCATTTCGATTCGACGTACCATATTAGTTCTTAAAAATTTTTGCTGCTCAAAATTTTTAGTTTTTCAAAACCAACATCCCTAAATTTAATTCCCCAACCCAATCAAATTTAGCAATTAAGCGATCTCTTATTCCTCAACTCTGTCTCTCTCTCTAAAATGTAGATTACAACTCTTATCATTATTTCCCTAATTTTATTTCCTATGTTAAGGGACCACTTTCTATACTGAGACAT